GTGTGTGTGTGTGTGTGAGGCGGAGCGGCTGGCGGAGTATGGTGCGGTCATTGCTTTGATTTTTCTTTTTTTTTTCTTTTTTTTGATTTTTTCCTTTTTAATTCCATTGTTTTTTGTTTTTGGGGGATGGTGGTGGTGGGCCGTTGCCATTGTTTATTTCTCAGAAAGTAGCACAATGGCAGAGCAAAAGGGGGCTGGTGTTCCCTTTAACTCTGAAGCGCACTCACAGAAATCATACACAGACATGTGTACAGCCATGCAGGGTTTGCAGCCATTGTCACGGTTGCGCGTGCATACGCGGTCAATTGAGCCTCTTTCATATGTCTGCATGATATCTGGTGATGGCATGGAGTTTATTATTCCTGAGGCCGCTGCGCGCCAAAGTAAAATGATTTCTTCTTTGCTTGACGCCATCTTTTGTCTTCCAAATCGCGGAGGATTTGGTGATTCACTAGGGAACAAACCGAATCCTGGGGTTCTTGCCGTGAACAGCATTAATATGATGCCGAGGATTCCACTTGAGCCTCTTTCCAGCCGCACACTCGAGCTTGTCTGTCGATATTTGCTGCAGCGCAGCACTGGGGATCCCAACTCCACGGAAGAGTTTTCGCTTCTTGGTGAACTGGACCCATTGTCGGATGAGGATCAGGATGTCGTTTCAGACCTGCTACTGGCAGCCGACTTCATTGATTGCTAGCAATGCATAATTTGTTTACTGGCGTCAACGTTATCTTCGAATTCCCCTTCCTTTCTTTTTTTTTGCATGTGTGTGTGTGTGTGTGTTTCTTTACGAATTGTTATCTCCGGTGGCAGTGGAGATTTTTTTTTTTCTTCTTCTTGTTATTATCATTATTTTTTTCACTCTCTTGTTTTCTGCACCTGCTGTCCTGTGTGTTTTGTCTTTTTTTTTTTTTTTTTTTTTTCACGTACGACTGCTGCCGCCTCTGCAGCTGTCAGTTGCCTTCCCCCGTCGTTGCCAAAAAGGAAGGAGGGGGGAAGGGGAAGGGGGGTTTAGAAAACAATAAGAAGAGGAAGAAAAAAAAAAAAAGGGGGGGGGGGTGGGTGGGGGGGGCGTAAGCAATAGTTAAGGGTTAGCGTTGGGGGGACCACACGTCGTCTCCTTCCGTGCCATCGTTTCAATTACTCACTCATTTACGCAAATATCTTTTTTTTTTTTTTTTTTTTTTTTTTCTCACTTACTTCATTGTATTTATTGATTGCTTGAAATGGGGGCAGCCGCGTCGTCCGGAAGACGAGTTCCCCGTGCGGCCAGTGCCCCACCGTACGATCACTCGCAGGCCATGTTGCTTGTAAACGGCTCCGTGAGGCGAGCTGCAAGGAGGAATTTGAATTATCCTAATAAAAACGGAAATGTTGGTGTTGATCTTGGTGCGATACGGAAGATAGACCAGCGCAGTCAAAAGACGAAAGCCGCTGACCGTGAAGAAATAAAATTTGACAATAACGATGCTGATCCTGCTACGTTGCACATTTTAAATGCCGTGAAGGAGGCGGATTCATTACCAGATAAAAAAGCTTCGTTGAAGCTGAATTTACTGCGTGGCTGCTATCCACTTCTTGAGCAGGTTCCCCCAAACCGTTTTGAGCACCTTGCCGTGCTTGTTTATCAAAAGGAGGGCGATGTATACCTTGCTCAAGGTGATAAGGAAAGTGCCAAGACGACATACAGTCGTGCGATTCAAATTGCTGAAACGCGTGTGGCTCGAGGTGAAAAAGAAATATACATGGTTCTTAAACGGTATGTGTTGTCTATGGTGGGTATGGCACGGTTATGGTACGAACAGGAGCGCGAGACGACTGGCTTTACGCTTGCTGATAAGGGCATTCCCGTGACGTTTCCAGAGGAGAGGAATACGCCGTCTGTTAGTTCCTGTGACAGTAGTTTCCTTTCTGACGCCAGTACGTTCAGTTTGAATCAAGAAATTATTAAGTCCATGACGCCAAAACCCCCACGACGCCGCGCTGGGCCGTCAGTTAACGTTGTGCGACTGCCTCGCCCAACGAAAATAAAGTGCGCATTCACTGCAGAAGATGATTTTGTGCTGCGAAGCAAAATGATACGCGAGTTAAAGGCATCTCCGTGTGAGCTATTACTGCTTCGCTGCATTGAGGTAGTAGAGATAGGACACCGGAGACAGTCAGAGCTGCTCATTCCTGCGTTAATTGAACTGGCACAGATATATGAAGACTTGCATCTTTACAATAGATCCCTTCTTTTGGTGCGCCGTTGCCTCGGTATTTTGTCTGTTGTGTATGACTACGACCATCCGTGGATTATACAATTGCGGCGCCGTGGGGACTACCTCATGGAATGTATGGAGGAAAAGACAATGGACTATATGGCGACAAAGATTCAGGCGACCTGGAAGATGTACAAGGCGATGTGTGTACTAGAAGAAGCTCTTGGACGACCAGTCACACGGCATGTGTGGATTCCGGCAGTGTACCACAGTCAGACGAATGATACGGATTTTTTGAAGGACTTTGTGAATGATCTGCCAGAAGGCACAGTGTTGTATGGTACAGGCGATTTTAATGAAATATTTGGCTCGGGTGACGTGGTCGTTGAGAATGGAGCGGCAGACGACACACGCAATACAAACGACGCGCACCAACCATCGGACGTTATTGGAGGGGTGGGCCGTGATTTGTTGCCGTCTACTAATTTAGAACGAGTACCATCTTCATTTCGCCGCAACACGCGAGCGATGAACGAGGTCACAAGGCGTTCTGCTTCTATTGAGGAAACATCCTTCGCTGCGGAGTATCCGCCGGTACAAAAGGAGAGTCAAGCCTCTGTAGGCAATACGTTTGTTCCAAATGGGCGGGTCGTCGGCACAACGCAGGACACGCAAACAGATACACAAGTACAGCAGACTGCCTACGGTGGGGTCTTGACAATTCGCACGACGACGATAACCCGCACCACAACGGAACAAGAGGTTGACAGCGATGAGGAAGACTCGATTGATGAGGAAGAAGCATACAACACCGAACGGGAATAAAGGGAGAATTTTCACAACTAGCCATCCGGTAGGGATTGTGAATATGAATCACCGAGGGGAAAATTCTGACGTATAGGGTTTTTTTTTTTTTTATCCGGAAGGAGCCACCGTAGCTTAGCTGAACAGGTAGGAGAGGATGAGGATGCCAATGCTTTCCTTGCTGCCAGAGTTTTCAAGGTATGAAAAAAAAAAAAAAAAAAAGCGATCACGTGGTCAATCGTTATGGCACAACTACGGGTGAAGACGACAGCAAGTTGGAGGATGGTATGATGCATTTTGCCAAGCCTGCCATGCCGTTGGACGCATCGGTGGGTCGTGCTATCTCCGCGTGGGAAGGCAGTCACCATCTGCACAACATGAGGGACCATTTTGGGGAGTTGTGTCATTTCGCAATTTTTCCAAACTGGGTCTTTTTTGAAGTTCTTATTGCTCAACCTGTGGAGAGAGGGGATGGGGCGATTGAAGAATGCCAATCGTTCTCTAAATTTGCATATAGATGTATATATATATTATATGTGCGTGTGTGTGTGTGTATGTGCTTATAAAAAGTAGAATGAGTTACATATGATGGAAGGAAAGAAACAACCAAAAGGGCGATAGAACTGCTTCATCATTGTTGGTGGGCTTTTCTTCTCAGGCTACTGAAAGGGTGGGTCGTGGTTTTGATTTTCTTTTCTTTTTTTTTTTCCCTCCAGCCTGTGACTAATGCCACCGCTACTCCCTTTGTTTTTTTTTTTTTTTTTTTTTTGTTCCTAGCGGTTGTGATTTAGTTTGTTTTGTGTGCGTGTGTGTATGTGTTTGAAGTCTGAATGCCACGTCAGTTGCCTGAGGAATGTCCGTGCGCAAAAAAAAAAAAAGAAAAAAATGCGGATTGAGCATGTGAGGAGATAAATGTTATGGTTTGTTTTGGGAGGGGGAGAGGAAAAAGAGAGGAGGAGAGGGGTGGTGTTTTGGGCCCGGCGTCACGCACTTCAATTAATCATTTCCGTTGGGTTCAATGACTTCGTCTGTGCATCCACCTCTCAATAGGCGCCCGCACGAACGGACCGGAGTTCTCCACGGGTGGAACCCAAAAAAAAAAAAAAAAAACAAAAAAAAAAAGAAAAGAAAAAAAAAGAAAATTATTTATGGCTGCTTTAGAGGGAAATTCTCTTTTTTTTTTTTTTTTTTTTTTGATGTCTTTGTGTTTGCGAGGAGCAGTGAGGAAGAAAAGAGTGGGTCGTGGGGTTTGTTGCGACACCGATGCGCCGATGGACGGCGTTTTTTTTTTTTGTTTTGTTGTTGTTGTTTTGCAGCCGACCGCTGGACTGGTGGGCGTGCGACTGAGTGGAGAGGGGGAAATGAAATAAACCGCGCCGCGCCACTTCTGTTGACATCCATCCATCACCACCGCCACCACCGCCGCCGCCGCCGTCCCTTTTCCCAGTCGATGGATGCGGAGGCCTCCTCCACTCAAATAACTGCGAGCGAAAGGAAGAAGGCAACGGAAAATTTTTTTTTTTTTTTTTTGGTTGATTATTATTATTATTATTGTTATTATTATAAGTAAAAAAAATATATATTTATATATTTTCTCTTTTTTTCCTTTTGTTGTTGTGGTTGTTGTTTTAGTATTTGTCTCTGTTTCTGTATCTTCTCTCATTGACCTTCCTCAGCTTACCCTTTTGGCGCATGGTTTTTTCTTTTTTTTTTTTTTTTTCTCTTCTTTTCTTCCAAGTGTAATATTGTTCCTGTCTTTGTTTCATTGATTTTTTTTTCTTTTTTTTTTGTAGTTTTTCCTTTTTTATTGTTTTATTGATTTTTTACACTGACCCTTTTTTTTTTCTCTCTTTCTCTCTCTCTGTGTGTTCTTCTGCACGGCCTTTTTGGGTTGAACTGCACATATCCACACAGTGACGCGTTGGGAGGGACACAGGGACGCACGCACTTTCAAAAAAGAAAATGTACATCTTTTTTTTTCTTTTTTTTTTGTTGTTGTTGTTTTGCATCATTGCCGTGAATTATTATTATTATTAATAAATATTTTTTTTCTTTTGATTGCTGTGGCTTCATTTGCTTTTTTATGCGTCTCTGTCTGTGCATGCATGTGTGGCCTTTTCTAATGCAAAACTTACTCTCATGGATACCTGTTGATTTATTACACAAGAGAAGGGCGCAACTTGAAATTTTTGCCTCTTACATTTAAAGCCAATAGTCTTTTGAGAATAATAGGCGGAAGTTGTGTCACGTAGACATCAAAGCATTCAAAAACAACTATTATTTTTATTTCTTTTTTGTTTGTTTGTGTGTGTGTGTGTGTGTGGGTGGGTGGACGGGTAGCTCATTAGAGTGCCGGTCTTTTTTTTTTTTTTGAGTCTGTCAGAAAGACGTTCACTATTTTAACGGGGGGATTGAATTGAGGCATGCGCAACAGGCGTCAATCTCCTCAGCGAGAGCAGGAAATTGGGAATGATGATATTAACGGCAAAGAAGAGAGAGAATTGGCTGCATTGTCGCCCCACGACTCGTTGCCAAAATGGGGAAATGGGCAGTATAAACCGTGCAGAGCCTATTCAGTCCGGGAGGGCAATAATTCATCCACTGCAATCCGCAGGGAAATCTCCGCTCCCACGGGGGCAGTTCCCGCAGCTGGAGAAAGGGGAGACGGAATGAAAACTCCGTACGCACCAACAGTGTACACGAGAACCGTGATTAACGGATTATTTGAAAAGGGTGCTGAAGCTGCCGCACCGGACAAAGCCGTTCATCTCCCGCAGGTGAGAAGCCCCCATCGGGACCGCGAGCTGCCATTGTTAGTCTACCGGCAGAGTGTCCCTAGCACGTCCGTGCGTAAATTTGTTGCCCCTTCCATGTTTCCACATCTCCCTGATGACAATATGCGTGACGCAAGTGTGAAAAAAAGTTATGAAAACGAAGGAGGAGTGGGCTTTGCGTCGTCCATGAGGCAAAGAAACTGCCTTAATGATGCGGACGTGCTCCCGCAGGGAGCATTGAAGAACAGCCAAACACGTCAAGAGGTGCGGATGCCGCACAGTTCAGGGATCAATGAGTCGAGGGTGAGTCAAACGTACCCGCATACGTCAAACGGTGCGACAGAATTTAGCAACGGACCCTCTTCCGCCAATAGGAACAGTCAGGACAATGCCAACAAGGAGAAATTGGCATCATCCAATCATATTAGCGGAAAAGACGCTGAGGAAATGTGTAGCACGGACAAAGGCAACAGTATTCAAAGTGCGGCGTTGATGCCCTTCAATCGGGCTGGCGAGAGGAAGAATGATGGGACGCTAGGTATTTCGTCCAGAAAAGGCCGAATAGTAGGTTCTGACACGGTGTCCCGTGGTTTTACATACACGCCATCTGCTCAAGCTTTATCGTCGTACGATGAGGCGAATGGTGAAGCGCCGTTTATGCCTCCCAACGCTATACGCATTTCCACAACAACAGCAACAAAAACTGTGCGGAAAGTGAAGTACTTGCCAGTTGACGAGGAATATATTGACAGCGATGAGGAAGAGGAGCCACCTATTGATGCTGTTCCACCTGAGTTTCCTTTCACGGATGACAATAACAGAAACAGTATACCCAGCCACGTGCCTTCTTTTCCGCAATCACGCAGGGGTTTTTCTCAAGAAGGAAGGCTACCGTTGACCTCGGGCAAAGAAAATGGAAATTTGTCACGAAATCTGTCAAAGTCTAATTCTTTACGGACCATCAGCGGTATATCGCCAATGAGTATTCTGGGGTCGTACAAGTGGGTTTGTCGTCGTCCTGTAACTCGAGAGTCTTTTTCTTTTCCCGAAGCATACCCCGCACCGGCCCCCGTGTTGGTTTCACCAGGGGAGTCAGGAGGTGCGGGTGAACCTTGTTTTCTTCTTCAGCGACACCAACAGCGTCTGGTGATTGGGGCTCGGGTGGATGATTTGAAGTGCCGCCAAGGCAACTGGTCAGGCTTCAATGGGGGCAATTCGTGCCCAAGTAGTGTGAGAGGGACTGATGAGGCGCGGGGAAAGAAAGACGTTGCGCCTACGAAACCGAATACAACTGTGGCTGGTGGTCACGCTCGACCTTTTCGGAGTTTGTCGTCCTTGTCTGACTCTTTGGATGACGGCATGAAGAGTTCAGAGCGTTTAACATCCATGCGCAGCAGTGCTGCTTGCAGCACAGTGACGCAGGCTATTTCAATGGATGGTGAGATGGGTAGTGCGTTGGATGTCGTTGTAGTGAAGAAATCGGAAAATTCAAGTGAACAAGGCGTTGTCACTGGCATGAATGAATGGGAGGAAGAAGATGAGGAGGATGTCCCGTATAACATGTTTCCAGCATCACCCACTTTGACGATTCCTGCTTTGAAGGCGAGTAATCGAAAACTTAACCTCCAACTTGGGCAACAAGAACACAGAAGCTTGAGTGCAAGTAACGATAGCAGAAGGTGGCCGGCGTAAGTAGGGCAGGGAAAAAAAAAAAAAAAGGGAAAATTATTATTATTATTATTATTATTATTTGGGATTGCATGTCTGTACTTATTAATTATTGTTTTTGGTTTTATATCTTTTTTATTGTTCAATGTTTTATTATTATTATCAATTATTATTATTGCTGTTGGTCATCATCTACGCATTGTTTTGTTTTTATTTTTATTTTTATTTCGTAAGTGGGGGGGTGGGGGGGGGGGAGGGGCCAACAAAGAAGGGGGAATGATGGAGTTGTACTTATTTATGTGTAGGGCTTTTTCTTTTTTCTTTTTAAATGTAAATTGTTGACTTTGTCTTATGGGGCCCTTTTTTTTTTTTTTTTTTTATGTGCACCTTCAACCGACTGTAATGACAGCAGGAATGTGAGGTGCGTGGGCGAACAACAACAAACAAACAAACTGGAAAAGAATGGGGTACACCCGTAGAGTTCTGCGTCTGAGCGCTATCAATCGATCTGGCGCTGAAGAGACTTTAAAAGCCGTTTTCTTCAATTGTTTTATGTGCACATTTCTCCCTTTCCCCCCCTTGGCGTACTTATTGGCGTCACTTGAAGAGGCCGTCGCACTTGTTGACTGTTTAAGAGGGCTCTATTATAAATATATATATACATGCATAATACTTTTTTTTTTTTTTTTTTTCGTTATTGTTGGTTACATGGGGGCATGCCATCGCGCAGTAGGTGGGAAGAATGCGGCGTGCGTGGATTTCTATGCGGCTGCCACAGTGGCGCTGCATGTGTCACGGCAAAACAGCCCTGCTTTCCAAACCATCGTCTACCAGCGCGAGCGGTGACGTGAGTGGTGGTAGTGGTGGCGGTGGCCAGGCAAAGTCAAGCAGCACTAGCACTAGCAATAGCAGCGTTGGAGGTAGCGCAGTGGCCGCGACATCTATCGCACCCGGGCCGTATCGTGTTGTCGGCAACATATTTATTGTGCACTGTAATGATCACCCCTTCAAACACTCGTGGGAGATAAACCGGATGCTGCGGGAACTGCGTCTGGAGTTCAAAGGACAGACGACAATTGTGCCTGACATTCCGCAGGTGAGAAAACAGCTCTGGCGGGTACGACACGTGGTGAGGATTGATATGCTTGATCTTGACGAGGCAAAGGCTCTTATTGGCGTGCCGGAGCACATCAGTTTTGGCGATCTTGCTTCACAAATCCCGGTGTCTTTTGGTCGCGTGCGTGCGGTGGCGAATCCGGTACTTCGCAGCAAAATGAACTTCATGAAACTGCGTCGGATGCGGCTTCGCGATGTGCTGCACCGTGACGCTCTTGAACTGCGCATCCTTGAAGAACGACGTAAGGCACTGGAGGCGGCGCAGCGCAACGAGGAGCAACAGTCTTCACCTCCTATGGGGCAGACACTGAAAGAGGAGGCGTCTCACAGCAGCTGAGAACAGGGAATACGCACACACAAATGCATATATTTACACGAGGAAGAACGTGAAGATAAAAAAAAAAAAAGAAGTTGAAACATTTCAAAAGGAGGGTGTAAAGTGTAGGGTGGTGAGGTGAAGATCATTCTTGAGGTTTGCCAAGGTGATGTATTTACTTAATTCATGAATGCAATTGTTTTCTTTTTCTTTTTTTTTCTTCTTCTTTTTCATATGTATTTATGGCTTTTATTTTATGAAACATGCCTGCTTGGATGATTAATAGTGCCTTGTCGACTCATTAGGAGAAAACAACGACCATGTTGCGATGTTGGAGGACTTTTCCATTTACTTGCAATGCCAACGGTTTATCTTCTAGAATGGCGTCCCGACTGCTTCAGAGACGCGGTGTTTCACTGGTTGGGCCGGCGAAGAGCACCTTCTTTGCGCTTTACAACGCCCAGAAGCAGGGCATGTGTGTGAGTGCCTGCCGTTGCCCCGGCCGTGCGTTCTCTAGCACTCCGAACATACCAGAACAAAAAAACACGGGCGATTACCTTGCCGGCTTCCGTGAGGGTCAGACATACAAGGGGAAGGGGGAAAAGGGGGGAAAGGGGGAAAAAAAGAG